TCTGGGATTGTGTTTTAGTCCTTTGTTTTGTCATGTTTGCTACCAGATGCAGAAAGCTCAGTTTCCCTCTTCACAGCTGCACAGCAATGCCTGCTAGTGTCACTAGTTTTCCTGTTGGTCAGGTTTGCCCTCAGTGACCCCTGAGAAGCACTACTTAGTCTTTGGTTTTCCAGCAGTTGTTGGTTTGTGTCTAGTTATCCCCAGTCTCAGACATGGGCATTGGTGTCAGTCGATGGCTGACCATCTGATCCAGTGTTGCCTTGCAGTTCAGGGCACGTGCCCAGCCTGAGTTGGGTTGCACTTGCGTGACAATCCCGGCCAAGTGGACGTATGTCCCCAGGCAGTTCAGGGTACAGACAAAACCCAGACACAGACTGCAGGGTCAACAGTTTATGAACCACCTGATTCTGTGTCTCCAGTCAGTTCAGGACACATACAGGAACCAGACGTAGGCCAGACGGGCAGCAATCACAGACTTCCCATGGCTGCGATCATCTAGGGGATCGGGGTGCAAGTAAAACACAGACTCGAACCACTGGACCAGTAGCTCTTTGAGCACTCGCTCACTCTGTGCAGGGTGTGTGCAGGGAGGGGCCACATGCACCCCCCAGCTAGAGCAGTCCTTGGGGCTTCTGAGTGAGGACCTCCTATTTCCTGCAGGTGCAAGGAGGGCAGAGACTCAGTCTGTAATGGCAGCAGGGTCCTACGTCACCTGCTCTTCCCCCAGGAAGTAGATGTGAAATACCTGGCTCTCTCCACGAGTTTCAGCTGGGAACCGTGGCGGTGGAAGTATCGCTCGGACTCGAATCATGGGACCAACAGCTCTTGGAGGATTTGCTCACTCGGCTCAGGGTGCATTCAGGGAGAGGCCACACACACCCCCCGCTTGTACTATTCTTCTACCTCTTTGTAAATGGCTGTCTGTTTCTCAATATGTTTTTGTTCTTTTACTTCTGAAATAAAAAAATAAAGAAAAGAATTTTCAGGTAATCAGCATTATTATCTAATATATTCTGGTCAATAATTAGGGGAAGCCTTGTGCGTGAATGTATCTTTCTGTGTCTGTTTGTGTTTAAGATACATCGCCGGAGCTCAGTGGCACAAGCACCTACGTGGCAAGGGTAAGGTCCTGATTTTCATTCCTGGTATCAAAAAAAAAAAAAAAAACCCAAAAACAATAACAAAAAATAAAATACTTCCCAGAGTTGATATGTGCTGATATATGAAACAGATAGAAATCTCTCATCTTCTATGCCAACAAATTGATATTTTCTACAAATTAATAAGAAACAGTGAATCCTTCTTTAGAATTATGATTATAATTTTCAGAAGCAGCTACTAGAATGCTCAATGTATCCACATTTGAGAATTAGGAGGAGGATAAATGTGAAATTTTTTACACATACTATTCATGTACATATGTATAGATCAATTACAATTTAATTTTTAAACCTATCCATTATTTTGAGGTAAATTTAATATTGATTCCTGAGTATTGTTTTACAAGAACTGCAATTTCTTGTCCTTATTTTTTACATTTATTTTGAAACATTGTATTTATTCTATTTATATTAGATACCATACATGGTACTTCTTCCTCATTTATCATGAGAACTAGTTTGCAAGAAAGTGCTATGTTTCTACATTTTGCCAAATCTCCTCATAAGTCTAAATATACCTCAGGGAATATAATTCATTTATAATGCTGTTGGGTCACTTTCATCTTGTTTCAGATATTTCTAAATTGCTGTGGAAAATGTATCATTTTTCTTTTGTTCTGACATTTCTTCCTCGTGTCTTACCAGTTAAGGTCCAGGAAGAGATTGACAGTGTGATTGGCAGGCACCGGAGCCCCTGCATGCAGGACAGGAGCCACATGCCATATACAGATGCTGTGCTGCATGAGGTGCAGAGATACATAGACCTCATTCCCACCAGCCTGCCCCATGCGGTGACCCGTGACGTTCAGTTCAGAAACTACAACATTCCCGAGGTAAGCTTGCTTCTATCTTGCATCTCAGAGTTGACATTCCCAAATTCAACATGAGATTGCAAATCAGTAACAACAGAAACAAGTACAAAACTCTCACATTTCATTGCTTGGTGGGCTTTCTGTTTTTTCCTGTGGGGCTCTAAATCTTTGTTTTATGTATGTATGTATGTATGTATGTATGTATGTATGTATGCATGTATTTATTTATTTATTTTAAAGAGTAAAGAAAACAAAATAACAAAAACCAAGACAAAACCAAAACAACACAAAAACACTTAAAATGATACAGAATTTCAAAACAAGGTGATAAAAAGTTAACCATGATTGTTATAATACATATTGTTATCATCAATGAAGTTGATCAGATTACGAGATGTTAAGAATGCAACACTGATCAAACAATTACAGAGAATTAAAGATAATGAAAAACATTAGAAACAATACAGAGTTTCACTAATCAAGATAGTAAGGATTCAACAGTGGTTGTTATATTGCATAGTATTGTCTTCAAATTAGTTGTTCAGATTACCAGATATAAGAAGAAAAATTGGTCAGAAAAATAAAAATTTAAGCATTAACTGTTCCTTCAATAAACCAATAGATATCAGCAGTACAATCATTCCAGCTATTCTTATATATCTATATATTTTTCCTTCATTCTTTCTTTCTTTTTTCCTTTCTGTCATCTCAGTTGTTCCTTCCCTTTGAGCTATGTCTTTCCCTTTCACAGTATCTAGTGTTACTTCTGAGTTTTATTTACTCTTTCAGGTTCTTACACTAGGGAGACAATGTTTATACATGCAGGTCTGATTTATACGACATGAGCATGGTCTCATTGCATCCATTTTCCTATAAAAGCCTCGAGTTTATAATTTTTTATAGCTGAGTAATGCTCCATTGCATAAATATATCACATCTCTCTTGTCTAATCATCAGTGGATGGGCATTTGTGTGGTTTCCAAGATTTAGCTATGAAAACTGCACTGCTATAAACATGGGTTCACATATATCACTGTGGTATGATCTTTTCTATTCTTCTGGAAAAATATGCAGAAGGGGAATAGCTGGATTGAATGGGACCTCTAATCTTAGTTTTCTGAAGAATCTCCACACTGATTTACATAGTGGTTGCACCAGTCAACACACCCACCAACAGTGGAGAAGTGGGGAGCTTCAACAGTGTTTGTTATTGGTTGATTTCTTGATGATAGCCGTTGTTTCTGGAGTGAGATGGAATCTCAGTGTTGCTTTAATTTGCATTTCTCAAATGACTAATGATGTTGAAAAGTTTTTCATATACTTAGTTGTCATTTGTATTTCTTCTTGTGAGAAGTGTGTATTTATCTCAGATACTCATTTTTCATTGGGTCTTTGAATTTTGGGGGTCTGATTTTTAAAACTTCTTTATATGTTCTAGATAGAAGCCTTTTGTTTGAGGGAGAGTTGGCTAAAATTTTTTCCCATTCATGTGTTTTCCTTTTACTCTGTTGGTGATTTCTTTTGATGTGCAAAACTTTTCAGTAAGATAAGATCCCAGTTGTTGATTCTTTGAAGTATTTCTCGTGCAGTTTGGCTTTTGTTCATGAACTTTCTGCCTACCCCTACATCTTTAAGATTTCTAACTACTTTGTCCTCTTGTAGATTTAATGTTTCTGTTTTAATATTTAGATCTTTGATCCATTTTGACTTTATTTTCATGCAAGGTGATATACATGGGTCTAATTTTAGACTTTGGCGTGTGGAAAGGCAGTTTTTCCACCACCATATACTAAAGAAGCTATCTTCCTTCCAGTGAACATATTTGACTCCTTTTCAAAGATAAAGTGGCTGAGTGTGTTTGTAATTTTGTCTCAATCTTCTAATCTGTTCCATTGATTCTCAGGTCTGCTTTTTTCCAGTACCATGCTGATTTCATCACAGTAGCTGTGTAATATAATTTCAAGTCTGGGATTGTGATGCACCTGACTTTCTTTTTACCCAGGATTTCCTTTGCTATTCTAGGCCTCTTCTTGTTCCAGATGAATTTTAGAAATATTTTCTCTAGATATGTGGAGCACACTAATGGTATTTTAATCAAGATTGTGTTGAATCCTGATAAGGAGTATGGCCATTTTCACAATGTTGCTTCTTCCTATCCATGAGCAAGAAATATTTTTTCATATTCTATAATCTTCAATCTCTTTTTCCAGAGTACTGTAATTTCCACTGTATAGATCTTTTATTTCTGTGTTAGATTGATTCCTCAGTATTTCATTTCTTCATGTGTTGTTGTGAAAGGTGTTGTTTCCCTAATTTCTCTCCTAGTGCATTTGTTGTTTTTGTATAGGAATGCTATTGATTTTTGAGTGTTGACTTTTTATCCAGCAATGCTATTATTTGTTTATTAATTCTAGAAGTCATTTGGTGGAGTGTTTGGGTCTTCCATGTAAAGTATCATGTCATCTGTGAATAATGGTAACTTCACTTCTTCCTTTCCAATCATTATTCCTGTTATTTTTCGTTCTTTTCCTATTGCTGTGGCTAATGTTTCCTGAACTATTTTAATAGGATTGGTGATAATGGATATCTTTGTCTTGTTCCTGATTTTAAAGTGAAAGATTTCTGTTTTTGTTCATTTAGTATGGTATTTACTGTTGGTTAGTCATGGATAACTTTTATCAGATTGAAGTAAAGACCATCTATTCTGATTTTATGTAGGTTTTTTTTTTTAACAAGAATGGGTGTTTGACTTTGTCAAAAGCTTTTTCTGCATCTATTGAGATGATCATACAATTATTATCTTTGGCTCTGTTGATATCGCATATTACATTTACTAATTTGTGTATATTGAACCATCCTTCCATTCCTGGGGTGAATTCTACTTGACTTCTATGTTGTAAATCTTCTTGATGTTTTGCTGCAGTGTGTGTGCTAGTATTTTATTGAGGATTTTTGCATCTGTGTTTATTAGAGAAATTGGCCTAGTTCTCTTTTTTGGTTGGATCTTTCTCTGGTTTTGGTATTAGGGTAATACTTGCCTTAAGGAATGTGTTAGTCAAAATTGCTTCCCTTTCAACTTATTAAAGAGTTTGAGAAGAATTGTTGTTAAATCTTCCCTAAATTTTCTTGTGGAATTGAGCTGTGAATCCATTAGTACATGGGCTTTTCTTTGTTGGTAAGGGTGTTTTTAAATTACATTTTAAATTCCCTTGACTGATGTATGGTTATTCAGGATTTTGGTATCTTCTTGACTCAGCTTTGGTAATTCATATGTATTTAGGCATCTGTCCATTTTTTCTGTGTTTTCCATCCTGTGAGAGTAATGATTTTTAATGTAGCTATTGATGATATTTTGAGTTTCTATAGGTTTATAGTGATTTCACCCTTTGCATTCCTTATTTCCTGAATTTGAATTTTCTCTTTCCTTATTTGATAAAGTTGGCTAGGGGTCTATCAGTTTTATTTATTCTTTCACATAACCACCTCTTTGATTCATTAATTCTTTGTATTGTTTTGTTAATCTCACTTGCATTAATTTCTGCTTTGATCTATAATTTCCTGCGTCCTTTGGGCTTTGGGCTTGACTTTCTCTTGTTTATCTAGAAGTTTGAGTTGTAGTATAATGTTTATTTCTGCTCATTCTATATTCCTGATGTGAGAATTCACTGCTGTAAATTTCCCTCTTATGGCTGTGTTCATTGCATCCCACAGGTTTCGGTCAGTTGTAACTGCTTTTTGTTTGTTTGTAAATATTGTTTAACTTCTTCTTTAACTGCATCTGTGATCCATTGCCTGTTCACGTGGGTATTATTTAATTTCCACTCATTTATGAAGTTTTTGTGATTTCTTTTTTCAGTAATTTTCAATATCATTGCACTATGGTCAGATATTATACATGGTATAATTTCAAATTCCTGTGCATTTACTTAAGCATGTTCTATGTGCTAGTACATGGTCTATTTTAGAGAATGATCCATACATAGCTGAGAAGAATCTGTATTCTGATGGTGTTGTTTGGAACAATTTCTAAAGATATACTAAGTCCATTTTTTCACAAGTTTGGTGTAGTTCTGTGATTTCTTTGCTGATTTTTTGCCCAGTTGATCTACTACTTTGTGACAATGTCATGGTAAAATCCCCAGTTATGACTGTGTTTTTGCTTATTTGATTTTTTATGTCTGTTAATATTTGTCTTATATCTTTGGTTGACCAGTATTGCATGTCTATATCTGTTTTCATGAGAAGCCACTTTGAAGATATCAATATGTAATACAACCACCATTGTTAATTCCCTAC